GGGCATTAGGACCCACATGGACCGCAGGGTGAGCCCCCCCTGCTGGCCCCACTAACACCTCTTCCAGCAGCAACCTTAGTTTTTCCCAGGAGGTCTCCTATCCAGGTACTGACCAGGCTCACACCTGCTGAGCTTCAGTGGGTTGCCAGTTGTGAGTTTTAGGGTGATATGCTGCTGGCATAATTGATCGAAAACCCTTACCCAGCCTTTGCTTGTAGGAAGCCAGGTCCAGTGACTGAGCTGGCACTGTGTGATAGTGATTAACCAGCAGGCAGGGGACAGCGGTTTGAAAATGAGAGGTGGAGCAGCTTCAGAAATCATTTACTTCTCTGATCACAGCCATCACAGCCTGCGGCGCGTGAGCTTGGTCTCTAGGAGCGCCTGCTGTGGGCTGGCTCTGTCTGGCTGTGGCCTTCAGACTGAAATGTGTGCTTGTCATTAGGAGATGGGGCCCCACACATGTGGGCCCGTTGCACTGTACTTTTTGGGGAAATCCCACCCAGATTCTACTGCTGGCCCGTGAAGATCCTGCTGGATGGGCTGCATGCTAGCAGAAACTCTGAAGCAGAGTCTGCTCAGGACTGATGGAGTGTACCGTCACGGTCCAGCAGCCCGGCTGGGACACAGCTCATCTTTTTCTTATACTAATAACATAATTGAAGGAGTTTTGCTGTAAATGCCAGTTCTTTGGGCTAAGAAGCATATGCAGAATAAGCAAGCTATTGTACAACATTGGCTCTTAGGAAGGTTTGGTTTTGGTGAAAGCTGGCTCTTCACTGGCAAACTCTGCCATTGCCTGTTTAAGGCTGTGATCAGGACTGTCCAACTTGGGACTCACGGTTGCTCAAGTACCTCTGTGCCTCTGTGAAAGGGTCAAGTATCTAGGAAAACTAGACGAGCTAATGTAGTTTCTTTGTGTTTCAGCATTGGTGCTGTGGTTAGTATATTTGTATGATTATGAGTCTGTAACTCTGCTCCTGGAACTATGAAAGAAAGGATCTGGTTGTGGAAATGTGTCTGTGTCCCTGAATGTGTCTTAATGGAGAGTTCTGCTGGCTTGAAAGGCTGTAGCATGTGTGCCTATTGCAGATCCCTTTAGCAGGAAACTGTCTCTCTATACGACGTATAAAGTACAGTAGGTGCAAGGCTGAGGTGTCCAGTCTCCAGGATGGAGGAACAGTATTAGAATTGTCACCTTTCTGCCCAGCTGCAGGCTGAACAGGGCCAAGCAGCTCCTCCAAGTGCAGGACCGTGATCTGTGCTCCTGGGTAACCTGTTCTCTTTCTCCGCACTCCACAGTACCAGGTGGGCCAGCTGTACTCGGTGGCCGAGGCCAGTAAGAATGAGACCGGGGGCGGCGAGGGCGTGGAGGTGCTGAAGAACGAGCCGTACGAGAAGGA